AGTCTCATGGACTTTCCTGCCCAGGCTGGCTTTGAACCACGATCCTCAGATCTCAGCCTCCTGAGTAGCTAGGATTACAGGTGGGAGCCACTGGGGCCTGGCCTGTCATCTTACTTTAAAAGTTAGACTGTATTCTGTTGTGTTAATGTACTACCGTCGATTTAATCTTTTTGTTTTTCAGGGTTCAAGCTGTTTCAGTACATATTTATATATTAGTTTTTAGATTTTGAATTACATTCTAAGCTTTGGGGAGTCAAAATGAATATCCATACATTGATCTCTATGTCTTTGAATATTGTCTTATTGTTTCAAGGAGTTGTTTATAGATTCCAGTAGCTATGAGAATTGCTTTTCCTTTGATTCTTTTCCAGACAAAAAATGCTGTTGAAAAGTTCACTGATGCCAAAAGAAAATTACTACAAACTGAGTCTGATGCTGAGGAGTTAGAAAGGCGAGCTCAGGAAACTGCCGTGAACCTTGTGAAAGCGGATCAACAGCTAAGGTGGGTGGAATCCATAAGGCACAGAGGGAGGTGTGTATGGTGAGATGAATGAGAGCTTTGTCCCTCTGAGGAAAATGGATGCTTTATGATGAATACTGTGTGTTAAGTGTAAGGGGACAGGGGGAAATAATGTGATATGTTTTAGGTTGCTCCAGGCTGATACCATGAATTTGGAACAGCACAAAATCAAACAAGAAGAAATTTTGAAAGAAATAAACAAAGTAGTAGCAGAAAAAGATGAAGACTTCCAGTGTTTAAATGAGAAGAGGGAAAAACTGACAGAAGAGTAAGTATGGCCTTTGTCAGGCTCCACAGGGCTCATGTTAGAGGGTAGCTGTGGGGTTCCATCTACCTTAGGGATGGCTCAAATACCACTGGTGCTTTTTTTTGTTTTGTTTTTGTTTTTTTGGTCAGTCGTGGGGCCTGAACTCTGGGCCTGGGCACTGTACCTCAGCTCTTCAGCTGAAGGCTAGCACTCTACCCCTGGAGCGTAAGCCCCACTTCGGGCTTTTTCTGCTTATGTGGTGCTGAGGAATCGAACCCAGGGCCTCATGCATGCAAGGCAAACACTCTACCACCAAGCCACCTTCCCAGCCCCACCACTGGTGCTTTGTAGGCTTCAGAACCTGCAAAGAGACATTGAGGAAGCAGAACGCAATGAAGATGAACACCTGCAGGTCCTTAAGGAATCTGAGATACTCCTTCAGAGCAAGAGAGCTGAGCTGGAGAATCTGAAAAGCCAGGTATGGCAGTAGACTCCGGGAAAAGACAGTTCATACAGCTTTAAAACCTTCTTTTAAGTTTTGTGACTATAAAAGTAATATATATTTGATTGTAGAAAAGATTGGAAAATAAAAATGATAAAGACTAAATGAGGCCCTGGTCACTTTCATCTTTCCATTTTCAGGTGGCAAGTCAGCAGCAAGAAATGACTGTCTTGGACAGGCAGTTAGGGCATAAGAAGGAGGAGCTGATACTACTCCAAGAAAGCCTAGTCCAAGCAAAAACTGACCTCCAGGAAGCCCTGAGTCTAGGAGAAACTGAAGTAGCTGAAAAGTGTGATCATATTAGGGTATGTTTTTCAGTAGATTTTCTTCAGAGTCCTACAACAGTGCTCTGGATTTATTTTGAGACATTTTCATTTGTTCTCCCCAAGTAAAATAAAAATTCCTGAAATCTTACATCATCTTTTTTTTTTTTTTTAATTCAGTCATGGGGCTTGACCTTTGGGCCTGGGCACTGTCCCTCAGCTCTTCAAGTGCTCTACCACTTGAACCACAGTGCTACTTCTGGTTTTCTGGTGGTTAATTGGAGATAAGAGTTTCACGGACTTTCCTGCCCGGGCTGGCTTTGAACTGTGATCCTCAGATCTCAGCCTCCTGAGTAGCTAGGATTACAGACATTAGCCACCGGTGCCTGGCTTACCCCATCTTTAACACCCTTGTGGTCTGTGTTGTGTAATGCTGAGACTGTCATGAGGAGCTCCTTCCATACTTTTTCTTGATAGGCCCATGGTTCCCCTGTGTTTTTCCTTTTTCATTCTATTTGTTGTTCAAGAATTCCCTTTCTGCCCTGTCACCAAACAGATCCACCTGTTTTTAATGACCTAGCTATAGGCCACCTCCTCTAATCAGACTTCCCTAAAGCCTTCATTGCTCTGAAGGGAGTCTTCCTGAGTTTTGTAGCTCTTGACATGTTCCTTAGCATCTTAATCTTTCATGATTGTGTTTATGTTCCCTGCCTTACAGAAAGTACTAAACACCTTGAGGTCAGCAGCCATGTCTGAAGCATCCTCATTAGTTCTGCCACACATTGCTTTTGCATGTGGTAAATGTTATCTGTACATTTAAATTAAGATATTATTTTCTTTTTTGTATACTAATACAAAGTACAGTAGTATTCTTGACATAAAAGGCAAAAAATGATCTCGTTTCTAAACTATAATTTTTATGAAACAAAGCAATAATACCTGATTTTAAAGGAATTTCTATTCATAATTTCATGAGAATGACTTTTAAACACAGGAAGTAAAATCGCTTTTGGAAGAACTGAGTTTTCAGAAAGGAGAACTGAATGTCCACATCAGTGAAAAAAAAGCTCAGCTTGCACTTATAAAGCAGGAAATTGAAAAAGAGGAACAAAATCTTCAGGGAATTTTACGGCAGATGTCTAAACATAAAACTGGTAAGTTTAAATGAAAAAAACTGTAGAAAGGTTAAAGGTTGGAAATAAATACAATTTACAGCAAAAAACAAATGACCAAATGACCTTCTTTTAAAGTTTAACCTAAACAGTAGTAAGCAAGGAAAAGAAGATTATAAAATGAATCTAATATTTCCTGCCATTCAGTTTGACAAGGTTTATTTTAAAGCAAAACAATCATAGTCCTGGCTAGCCCAAAGTATGCCAATGCAGGGGCATTTATGAATCGAATTTAAAATTAGAACAATTTCAGGATTCTTAAAATTCACACCTGCTGGGCTGGGAAAGTGGCTCAGTGGTAGAGTGCTTGTCTTGCATGCATGAGGCCCTGGGTTCGATTCCTCAGCAGCAAATAAGCAGAAAAAGCCAGAAGTGGCCCTGTGGCTCAAGTGGTAGAGCGCTAGCCTTGAGCTGAAGAGCTGAGTGACAGCGCCCAGGCCCAGTATTCAGGCCCCACGACCGACAAAAAAATAATAAAATAGGGGCTGGGAAGGTGGCTCAGTGGTAGAGCACTTGCCTTGCATGCCTGAGGCCCTGGGTTCAATTCCTCAGCACCACATAAGCAAAGAGGAAAAAGCCGGAAGTGGTGCCTTGGCTCAACTGGTAGAGCGCTAGCCTTGAGCTGAAGAGCTGAGGGACAGTGCCCAGGCCCAGAGTTCAGGCCCCATGACTGGACCCAAAAAAAATAAATAAAATAAAAATAATAAAATAAAAATTTACACCTGCTGACCCAGAGAGCCCATCTCTACTTATCCAGATAGGGCAAAACTTTATGTAAGATTTGAATTTACAAGATTACAAAACAGGTCCAGTGTAAAAGCCTTATGTTTAACCTTTAATGACATGCAAAAATACTCATGTGAAAGCTGAAAAAAATAGATACAAATTGAATATGGAGTGCAGTCTAGTTATTTTATAGTGTGTACATGTGCACTGTTGAAAGGAAGCACTTCACTGCTATTGCAGTAATCGTCACCTTTGGCTGTTGGGGTGATGATGTATTTTTATTTCTTCCATCTTGCACATTTTTTGTATTTCCAAGATTTTCTACAAGGGAGCAAATACTTTTATAATCAGAAGAAACTTCATACTTATATATCTGAATTTCAAAGAGAAAAATAATGTTATATATATCTCTATATTTTAAAACTTCTTTCTAACTTAATGAATTTTTATTTATATATAAAGTGTTTGGTTCTTTTCTTCTTTTCTTTTCTTTTCTTTTGTGTTGGTCGTGGGATTTGAACCCTGGGCCTGGGAGCTGTCCCTGAGTTCTTCAGCTCAAGGCAAGCACTCTACCACTTGAGCCACAGTACCACTTCCGGTTTTCTGGTGGTTAATTGGAGATAAGAGTCTCGTGGATTTTCCTTCCCAGGCTGGCTTTGAACCACAATTCTCAGCTCTCAGCCTCCTGAGTAGCTAGGATTACAGGTGTGAACCACTGGTGCCCAGCTGGTTCATTCTTTTATGTGGAAATCAATGCTTTTGTTAAATCCTGCTGAATGTTTTTGTTGAAATAGGTTTTAACAATACTGTGTTGTGTGTGTGTCTGTGTGTCTGTGTATGTGTAAGTATATGCCAGTCCTGGAGCTTGACTCAGGGCCTGGGTACTATCCTGAGCATTTTTATTTAATGCCCATACTCTATCACCTGAGCCACAGCTCCACTTTGGCTTTTTGGTGGTGAGAGATAAGACTTTTTCATAGATCTTCCTACCTGGGCTGGCTTTGAACTGCAATCCTGAGATCTCAGCCTCCTGAGTAGCTACCACTATAGATGTGAGCCATCGGCACCCAACATTTAACAAAACTTTTACAGAGTTTTTCCCCATTAAAATAGAATCAACACCACTTATTCAGCTCACAAAATTTTTGATTATCTTTTGTTTCTGTGTCTGTTAACAATGTTATTTTCTGGTCCCCTTTGTAAATGTTTCTAAGTTCATTTCATAGTGCTGACTATGCTTTGTTTCTGTTTTAATAGAACTAAATAATATTCTAGATATACTGCAACTTGAAAACAATGAGGTGCAAAGTTTGAAGTTACAACATGACCAAAAGGTGTTGGAGTTGGAGAAGATCCAGGTTGAAGTGCTGCAGGTAATGACTAGAGGCATTGTCCTCTTAGTGAATGACAGATTTTTCTCTTTGGGATATTTAAGCACTCTTTTATCTGATTTAGGAGAAGCTGGAGTTGGAGAATTTGCAGCAGACTGCCCAACAACAGAAAGAGGAAATAGAGTGGCAGAAACAGTTGCTTGAGCGGGACAGGTGGGAAACAGAAAGAATGACTGCTGAGATCCAGGCATTACAGTCATGTGTTGACTGTTTGAGCAAAGAAAAGGAAGATCTCCAAGAGAAATATGACAGCTGGGAAAAGAAGTTGTCTCAAACCAAAAGGTTAGAGCAAGAACAAAAATAACTTACAGTATCACTTTAGAATTTACAACATAGGAAAGAACTTGGCATCATAATTCTCTAATGAATATTTTTGGTGTTTCCTGCTTAGTTCCTCCTCAAAATTTTTTAACCTATTTCTGTTTTTGTGTTCTTTGTGTGTGTGTGTGTGTGTGTGTCCTGGGCACTGTCCCTGAGCTTTTTTGTTCAAGGCTAGTGTTTTACCACTTGAGCCAAAGCTCTGCCTTTTTTTTGGTGGCTAATTAGCAATAAGAGTCTTACAAACTTTTCTGCCTTGGGCTGGCTTCAAACCACAGTCCTCAGATCCTAGCCTCCTGAAGAGCTAAGATTACAGGCATGAGTCATTGGTGCCTAGCTCTGTTGTGATTTTTAAATGAAATAATACATGGTAGAAATAATCAATTATAGTCAAAATCAAAATAGGCTTTTTTTGGTAGATAGTGACATGTTCATTCTAAAATTCACGTGGAAATAAAAAGGACCTAAAATAGAATTTAGAATTTGGTATAAATAGAATTTATACAAAAATAAGTTTAAAAATAATAAAAGTTTAAGGCTAACTCTATGCTATATAGATTATTTAGATTTCATACTAGTCAAAATTCTGGTTTAGCATAGACTTTTATCAGTACAACAGATTAGATAGATCTAAACAGAATATACATTAATGTTCACAGCAGCTTTGTTTGTAAATTAATGTTTGTAACCTGGTAAATGGATGAACAAAATATAGTATGTCTATACAGTGCAATAAAAAGGGAATGAAGGATTGTTATATACATTAACATGGGTAAATGTCAAGGTAATTGTGCTAAGGGAAAAGAAGCCAAGCTAGGTATTAGTGGCTTACACCTGTAATCCTAGCTACTCATGGGGCTGAGATCTGAGGATTGTGGTTCAAAGCCAGCCCATGCAAGAAAGTCCGTGAGTCTCATCTCCAATTAACCACCATAAAACCAGAGGTGGATTTGTGGCTCAAAGTGGTAGAGCACTAGCCTTGAACAAAAAAGCTCAAGGAGGGAGGGAGACGGGAAGGGATGGGAAGGGGAAACAAAGGAGGAGGCAACAATATTTGATAAGAAATGTACTCATTACCTTGCCCATGTAATTGTAACCCCTCTGTATGGTATTTTCACAATTAAAAAAAAAAGTAAGAGGGCTGGGAAGGTGGCTCATTGGTAGAGCGCTTGCCTTGCATGAATGAGGCTCTGGGTTCACTTCCTCAGCACCACATAAGCAGAAAAAAAAAGCCGGAAGTGGTGCTGTGGCTCAAGTAGTAATGTGCTAGCCTTGAGCTGAAGAGCTGAAGGACTGTGCCCAGGCTCAGAGTTCAGGCCCCACAACCAGACCAAAAAGAAAAAGAAGGAAAGAAAGAAAACGATCCAGCCGGGCGCTGGTGGCTCACGCCTGGAATCCTAGCTACGCAGGAGGCTGAGATCTGAGGATCGCGGTACAAAGCCAGCCTGGGCAGGAGAGACCGTGAGACTCCTATCTCCAATAAACCACCAGAAAACGGGAAGTGCGCTGTAGCTCAAGTGGTAGAGCACTCGCCTTGAGCTGAAGAGCTGAGGGACAGCACCCAGGCCCAGAGTTCAAGCCCCATGACCGGAAAAAAAAAAAAAAGAAAACCATCCATTCCTTTTAATAAAACATTCATTGGAAAATTGAAGAAAAAAAAAAACAACTCAAGGATAATGCCCAGGCCCTGAGTTCAAGCCTCACAACTGGCCAAAAAAAAAAGAAAGAAAGAAAAGAAAAGAAAAGACAGACACAAACAAGTTCACATAATATGCCATACTGCTTATATCTTCAAGGTGATATCTTTGATATAGACAGATTGTACTTACAGCTGCTTTTTTCTTTTTTGGGGGGTCCTGTCGTGGGGCCTGTACTCTGGGCCTGGGTGCTGTCCCTCAGCTCTTCAGCTCAAGGCTAGCACTCTACCACTTGAGCCACAGCGCCACTTTAGGCTTTTTTCTTTTTGCTTATGTGGTGCTGAGAAATCGAACCCAGGGCCTCATGCATGCACAGCAAGCGCTCTACCACCTTCCCAGCCCCAGCTGCTTTTTTCTTTTATCATGATTTAATGGTACCTTTTTCTCATTCAAATTTTAGGAATTCTGAATATTATCCATGATTTTTAATAAAATTTCAACTTAGTCACCTTTAAAAAAATCTATCTAGAAAACTTTGGAAACTGAGTTAAATCTTGAATTGTAAGATTTATAATCAGACTTTCTATAACTGTGTCACGAAAGGGTAACACTGTTTTCCAGTTGTGTCAGCTGTGTGTGTAAATATTCTATATTTTACAGTCTCATTTATTCTGTGTGGCAGGGTTTTAGCAACTACAGAAGAAAATAGCAAACTAGAACAGTCAAACTTAGAGAGATTGGAATCAAATGCAAAGAAGCTCCAACAGGAAGTAGACCAGCTGAACCAAGACAAGCTCTCGCTGCACGCTGGCATCGCTGCACTGCAGCAGCAGCTCCAAGGTACAGCAAAGACGTGGCTTTCCTCTGTTACATGGGTTAATTGCTTGCTTGATCTTAGTACAGAAGTCATGCAAGAGAGCTTGGGAATTTCTCAAATTAGATTGTGTTAATAGCTGTATCACTCTGAATATACTAAGCTTTTGAATCATACACTTCAAATAAAAGACAAAAACTATTGTTTTTACCTGTTTACAGCTAAGGAAAAACGTCACTTGCTCTGAGTCACACAGGTAGTAATCCACCAAGCCAATACAGATATAAAATGTATCTCCAAATTGTCTTCATGCAACTAACCAACTTTATTATTGACAAATTTTGTTGAGATTTTTAGAATATAAAAGTTTTAAAAAAGGGGCTGGGAAGGTGGCTCAGCGGTAGAGTGCATGCCTTGCAAGCATGAGGCCCTGGATTCGATTCCTCAGCACCACATAAACAGAAAAAGCCGGAAGTGTTGGCTGTGGCTCCAGTGGTAGAGCGCTAGCCTTGAGCTGAAGTGCTGAGGGACAGTGCCCAAGACCCAGAGTTCAGGCCCCATGACCGGCAAAAAAAAAAAAAAAAGTTAAAAAAAAAAGCTAGGCATCATGCAGTTTCTTTTAATAGGATAGTATAGCAACCTTATTCATTTAACAGAAATACATTTAAATGTAATTTTTTATGGGGCTGTCTGGTAGAAATCTGATATGTATAGGTATATAGATAATCCTTATTTTTTGAAACTCTTTCTGTAGAAAAACGAGAAGTGGTAAACTCAATACAGGAGGAACTCGCTGATGTCCAAGACCATTTGAATGAGGCAAAGCAAGTAAGGCTAACAAGGGTAACTTCCTACTAATATGTTAAAAGCACATAGGTAATTATTTAACATAGCAAAGTAAAAAACACCAATTAGGCTTGTTCCATTTCATACCAGCATCTAGCATAGGGCCATTCATATAACATAACCCCCCAATAAAATTTTGGTGCTTAGCAGTAGTTTCCAACTTCTTTTAGCCCTAGTACTCTAATTCCAACCAAGGTCTTTTTCTGTTTGTGTTATTTTTGTGCTGGTACTGGGGCTTGAACTTGGGGCCTTGGTGTTGTCTCTTAGCTTTTCACTTAGGGCTGGCACTTTACCACTTGAGCCACAGCTCCGCTTCCAGAAAGTCTCATGGACTTAGCTGTCCAGCTTTGACCTCTGTCATTCAGATCTCAGCCTTCTGAATAGCTAGGATTACAGGTGAGAGCTGCCGGCACCCAGCTCATGAAGCTGTACTGAAAGCTAGTTAAGTAGTATAATGGCCAGACCAGAGTCCAGTAGCAGTTTCTTCGGGGGTGTTAGGCCGGAGAGATACATACATATCCATGGCACAGGCAAGGCCTCCAGACTACTGTTAGATTTATTTGCTCATTGAATTGCTCTGAACTATCATCTTGTCCAACATTTAATAGAGCCTATTTGTGGCCCTTATACTTCTGATGATCATCTTAAAGGTAATTCCATATAGTCCTGTGAGAATAGTGTAATTTAGATTTCAGAGAAAAACAAGCAGCAAATTGTGGGCTTCAGTTTCTGTTATGTGAATTAAAAATTAAACATCTAATTTCGTTTCCTTGTACTTTTTAGATTCTTTTATTTCTGAGGCTTTGAACCTATGCAGGTATTTCAGATAACTTTAGGTTTGTTTTCAACAAGGATTGAGCCATGTTCATAATTTTTCTTAATTTTCTAAACAGTCATTTGTTGCCAGAACATTGTTTATCCCCTTCTCAAGTCACAAGGCAGCTAATGCTAAGAGGGTCTGAGGGTTTTGTGAGACTTTGCCATCTTTTGCCATCTTATGTTTTAGGCAGTAAAAAGAGGAAAACCCAACAATTCAATCATGATTCCTTTTTGTAAATGTGTGGAAACAATAAAGGATAGGAAAGTTTATGCTTCCCATAACCTGTAGAATCTGGGTTGGCACCAGATACCCTTTGTGTAGATGACTTCGTGAGTAGTTTTGATGTATTCTTCCACCTAAAGGAGCTGCTTCTCACCACCAAGCATCAGGATGCACTGCAGAGTGAGCAGACACAGCTCCAGCAGAATATCAGTGAATGGAAGGTGAGGCTTGAAAATAGCCAGAAAGAAGCAGAAGCAAAACAACAGCAACTTCAAGCACTTCAGAGTGAGATCAAAGAAAACCAGCTCAAGCTAGACCAGCAGGAAAAGGTACCACACAGTTACAATTTTATAGAAAAGGAACTGCTTTGTTTCTCTGAGCTTTTCCACTATGGCAGAAAGCTGAGCAGTAGACTCTTCAAGACTTTATCTTTTCTCCCTCTTCTTCTTCTCCCTCTTTCTCTCCCTCCCTTCTGGCTCGTCTCCTCTCTTTTCTCTCCTCTTTCTCCTTGATAGGCAAGCTTTCGACCAACTGAACTACATCCCCAGCCCAACTATATGTCTTTAAATGCCTCATGTAATCTTACATTTTGGGATTAATACAAGTTGTAGACCCTTAAATTTCAGGGCATTGGTTATGTAAAGAATCATAGTGGCGCCGGTGGCTCAAGCCTGTAATCCTAGCTACTCAGGAGGCTGAGATCTGAGGATTGCGGTTCAAAGCCAGCCCGGGCAGGAAAGTCCGTGAGACTCTTATCTCTAATAAACCATTAGAAAACCAGAAGTGGTGCTGTGGCTCAAGCAGTAGAGTGCTCGCCTTGAGCTGAAGAGCACAGGGACAGCACCCAAGCCCAGAGTTCAAGCCCCACAACTGACCATTAAAAACAAAAGCAAAAAAGAATCTTAGTGGCCACATACTATTTGCTGCCTGTGTCCACTCCCCTCATACTGGCAAAGTGGCTTTTCTGACACTATGCTGCAGGCTGTTTACTTCTTTCAGTTGAGATGGAATCTATCTTCATGTTCATCTGGAACACCTGGCATTCTTCATTTTGTAACTAACTATTGTTCTCTATTAAGATGTTTCAAACTCTCCAACAAGAGAGAGAAAGTGAAGAAAAAAAAATAGAAGCCAGTAAAGTAACACTGAAGGAGCAGCAGGAGCAGCTGGAAAAGGAGTTAACAGACCAGAAAAATAAACTGGACCAAGTCATCACAGAGATGATGATGGCAGAAGAGCACGGCAGGACACTGCAGGAACAGGAGAGGAGGAATGAGACACTGGAAAAGACGCTCTCCCAGGCCAGTATGTACTCAGAAACAGCACTTGAAAGCAGGGCAGAGTGGGGAGTGCTGTCTGTGCTGATTATAAAGTATAACGGATACCTAGGCTGGAGCCAGAACGTGGAAAGGAGGCAGAAGCAGCGGATGAGGGGACAGAGCCCTAGGAGAGATAAGGAGACAGGCTTAGAAGGAAGAGAACTGTATCTTTATTGAGAAGAGATTGATTCTTGCTAGGCTGACAAGCATGTCTGTTTTTGTTGTTTGGTTGTTACTATATTGCCTTCTTCAAGAATGTTCTATCTATGGGTGCAGGTGGCTCATACCTATAATCCTAACTACTCTGGAGGCTGAGATCTGAGGATTGTGATTGGAAGCCACCCTGGGCAGAAAAGGCCTTGAGATTCTTAGCTCCAGTGAACTAACTCCCCCCCTCCCCTTGCAAAAAAGCAGGAAGTGGTACTGTGGCCCAAGTGGTAGAGCTACAGCCTTGAGCAAAAGGAGCTTAGGGACAGCATCCAGGCCTTGAGTTCAAGCCCCAGAACCAACACACACACACACACAAAAAGTTCTCACAGAAGTGGAACATTATAGCAGAGAAGTGCCAGAAGATACTCTAAAGGACAATAGAATAATGACCTGTTTTGTCTCAACTAATCAAGAAAACAATATAAACAATTCTACTTCTATCTTCCATTGACATAGCAAATGGTACCAGAATATAGATAGTTGGCTTTGAGTCCATTTGCTCTCTCTTAAGTCAAATAAATAAAGTCTAAGACAGGCATGGTAGCGTGTGACTATAGTCCAAGCCTTGGGAAGCTGAGGCAGAAGGGTGACTTAAGCTCAGGCTATTGCACCCAGCCTGGGAAACATAGTAAGACCTCCATTCCAACCAGTCAGTCAATCAATAAAATAAATATAATGTTGATATGAAAATCTAGGGGCAAATGATCCACCAGTAAACATTATTTCTCTTTCTTAGGCTTCAGGGTTTAATAGCACTGAGAAAGTGTTGTGAACTTGGGTCTGAAAGGCTTAATACTCCTTTTCCTCTAGAGGCCTATGGGATACCCAGACTTGATCACTTCATAGCAAGAACAGAGCCAAACAAACATCCCAAGTTCTAAAAATGAGAATCTGGGCAGGGTGCTACCTAATAAGTGTGATAAGAAGAACCTTGTAAATGTCACTTTTAGATAGAAGCATTTTTATTAAGTACTCACTATCCCAGGGTCCACATACACAATTCCAACTGAATACCAGGAAATGTGTTCTTCACCTTAAAACGGGGCTCTTTGCCAACATGGAACCAATTCCAAACCCTGTGGTCTTTCCAGTAGGTGTACCACCTCCTATGAGGGAGAAAGTACTGAGGTTATCTCTCAGGAGTTAAGAAACAACATCATTTCCACAGTCTGTTCCATTGTTTCAACACTTCAGGGATTGAATTTATTCCTCTCATTGGTCTTGAAGACTCAAAGGGAAAGTAGTTGCTGTCTATCACTTTGGGAATGGTCCTCCAGGAACCAGTTTCTTCAAGAGGACCCTTACCAGCCTTTGTAGGAAACATCTGTAATCCTAGCTATTCAGGAAGCAGAAGTTAAAGGATCCATAGTTCAAGGCTGGCCCAGGCCAAAAGTTAGCATGACCCTCTTTCTAAAACAAGCCAGGCATAGTATGGTATATGCCTGTAATCTCAGCTGCAGGACTTGTAGATGCGATCATTGTGGTCCAAGCCCAGCCCTAATAAATGCTTGGTATCCCATCTGAAAAACAGACACATAGTAAAAAAGACTTGGGGATATGACCCACCTGGTAGTGTGTTTGCCTGAGCCCCAGTACACACACACACACACACATTTTTGGGCCTTTGGAGTCCAGAGTCAGGCAGACATGACACTTGAGACAGTATTAGTGCTAAGTGCCAGAGTACATAGCATGTCACAGTTGGGTAGTCTACACCTGAGGGATGGAAGCTGTGACAGACCTAACGTAGTACTGATTTCAGAACGGCAGCTTGCAGAACTGGAGCAGCAGTTAATGGAAAAGTCAAGCGAGCTGCTGGCCCTCCAGAAGGAGACAGACACTATGAGGGCAGACTTCAGCCTCCTGCGGAACCAGTTCTTGACAGAAAGGAAGAAGGCTGAGAAGCAGGTAGCCAGCCTGAAGGAAGCACTTAAGGTCCAGCGGAGCCAGCTAGAGAAAAACCTCCTTGTGAGTATCTGCTGCCCTTGCATTTAAACGTTTAAGGGTTTGGAGGTATGGCTCGAATGGTAGAATGCCTATCTAGCAAGTGTAAGGCTCTTGAGTTCAAACACCAGTACTACCACAGAAAAGTAATTAAAATAGAACTTTTTTTTTTTATGTGGGGAAGATAAATTACCCATTAACTGAGCCCCTAACCTGGCTGTTGTTATTGGTATACTTGGATTTACTTTGTTCTTGAAGATTTGCTAAGTTGTGCCTGGGCTGGACCTCAGCCTCAGAGCAGCTCTGGCAGCTGGCTGGGAGACCATCCAGTGTACAGTATGCTTTCTGCTACAAGCTCTGCTATAGCCATCACTAGGGTGCATGAAAAGGCTTGATAGACAGTTTTATACAGCAGCATCCAGTGCTTGAGTTCTTTTCAGAGAACATCAACTTTAATTATTCTCCACAAGCCAAGAAGCTCAGTCCTCCATGCTTCTATATCTGAAATAAACTGGGAAAGTAACAATTGTAATTATTGAGGAGCATTTATGATGGGAGGCAAGTGAACACAGTGGGCTTCCCAATACCTGCTATGGGACTAGTGCAGTCCTGCTGTGTGAAAGGAACACCCAAAAGTATCTCAAACATCTCAGGAAAGCTGAGGTGCAGATGGGAAGTGAAGTTACAGAATTGAGTGTGTGAGCCAGCAAGCACACTTCCATATGCTGGACCTCAGAGTCATCTTTTTCTCCTCTTCTAGGAGCAAAAGCAGGAGAAGAGCTGTATGCAGAAGGAAATGGCAACAATTGAACTAGTAGCCCAAGACAACCATGAGCGGGCCAGGCGCCTGATGAAGGAGCTCAACCAGATGCAGCATGAATACCTAGAGCTCAAAAAACAGGTGTGTGCTCAGGAACCCCTGCTGGCCAGCTAGGGACATGGGACTTCAGAAAACATACATTCCTCCAAGGCTTAGGCAGGCTGTAGAGTTAATCTCTCTCTTAAGAGTAACATTTCTGCTGGGCGCAGGTGGCTCCTGCCTGTAATCCTAGCTTCTTAGGAGGCTAAGATCTGAGGATCGCGGTTCAAAGCCAGCCCGGGCAGGAAAGTCCGTGAGACTCTTATCAATAAACCACTGGAAAACCGGAAGTGGCGCTGTGGCTCAAGTTGTAGAGCGCTCGCCTTGACCTGAAGAGCTGAGGGACAGCGCCCAAGCCCAGAGTTCAAGCCCCACGACCTACAAAAAAAAAAAAAGAGTAACATTTGAGCTACCAAAAAAAAAAAAAAAGAGTAACATTTCTTCATGTAAATTGTGGAAAGCTGATTGTAAGAAAGTATTTCAAGCTGAATCCTTCAGCCTTTAAAATTTAAAAATACCCAAGGAAAAGAAGTATTTGTTTAAAAAAAAAATGTGTTTTAGCCCAGTGCTTGATAGCTCATGCCTATAATCCTAGCTACTCAGGAGACTGAGGCCTGAGGGCAGAACCAGCCCAGGCAGAAAAGTCTGTTTGAAACTCTTATCTTCAATTAACCACCAGAAAACCAGAAGTGGCACTGTGGCTCAAAGTGGTAGAGTGCTAGCCTTGAGTAGAGTTCAGGGACAGCACCTAGGCCCTGAGTTCAAGCCCCATAGCTGACCCAAATAAAAAAAAAAAGCTTAAAAATTCTCTTTAAGGGCTGGGAAGGTGGCTCAGTAGTAGAGTGCTTGCCTTGCATGCATGAGGCTCTGGGTTCGATTCCTCAGCACCACATAAGCAAAAAGAAAAAAGCTGGAAGTGGCGCTGTGGCTCAAGTGGTAGAGTGCTAGCCTTGAGCTGAAGAGCTGAGGGACAGCGCCCAGGCCCAGAGTTCAGGCCCCTTGACCGGACCCCAAAAAAAAAAAATTTAAGAGCTGGGTACCAGTGGCTCACGCTTATAATCCTAGCTACTCAGAATACTTAGATCTGAGGATTGCAGTTCAAAGCCAGCCTAGGCAGAAAAGTCTGTGAGATTCTTATCTCCAATAAACTACCCAGAAAAAGCCAGAAGTGGCACTATGGCTCAAGTAGTAGAGTGCTAGCCTAGATCACAAAGAGGCTCAGGGTCAGCACCCAGGCCCTGAGTTCAGAGCCCCCAGACTCGCCAAAAAAAATAAGTTCAATAAGCTCTTAGATCCTTGAAGGGAAAGTAGTGATTCTGTAATATAAAATTTTATTGTATACTAAAGAACTATATTAGATTTTATGCTAGAAGAAAGCCAAACCCCCAGGCAAGTCAAAGTGGTCCAGGAGAAACCTTTGATATCATGTAATATATTTGCCAAGTAAAAAGTGTAAGACTGTACAAGTTTACACTGGTGATCTCTTAACTCCTTAGCCAGTGTCACCACCTGGGCCATTGCTGGGGAAACTGTTACACCACTTGATCGGCCTTGTACTTTATTCCTTAGATAACTCTAAGGGGCAAGGCCATTTTCATCTGTGCTGTCAGTGCTCTCATTTTCTCTATCTCTTCCTCTCTCTTTCTCTCTCTGTCTCTCTCTCACACACACATTTTTAAATGCCTTTTTTAAATTATTGGAAGGCCACAAGTCCTGTTGATTGTACATGCCTCTGCAAACTTGATGAGCATTAGTGCTACGGCAGGTATGAGGAGAGCCATACCAAGTAGTCTTGAGTAATGAACACAGTGTGTAACACTTAGGCAAAGCCTTAGGCTCCCAACCCTCCAGATTCTAAGACCCTGTAAGTATTCACATTTATAATCCAGATCACTTAGGATTTGTTTCACTAAGGGATGTTTTTCTCATTTAGACATTTATTATTACTGTTTCCAGTTAGGTACCACTAAAATGCTTCATGTAAATTCCCACTTAGTCCTCATGTCTCAGCAGAAGATATTACTGAGATCAGAAGTCAGCTAACTTGCCCTTAAGTCATATATTAGTAATGTATGCTGGTCTAAGACTGGAATCCACCTCTAACTCCAGAGAGACTGACTTCTGTAAACTAATTGTTTTCAAGAAACATTAAAGGAAAGTGGCTCCAGTCAAAATGCTGATAAAATTATTTACTTGGTGGTTTGTAGATAGTTGAGTGTCTTAAAAAGTATAACTTTTTAACAGTTTGAATAATCTTGGTACAAAGGCCAGTATATCCATTCAAAGTTGAAAATACCATATGTTGAAAACATATTTAATATATCTTACCTACCATACATCATAACACAGTACAATGTGGAGGACTGATTGTTTACCCTCATGACAGAGTAGCTAAAGTTGTGGCTTGCTGACGGAACCCACCATCAAGAGAGAGTAGGCATATTACTAACCCAGGAAAAGATTAAAATACAAAAGTATCCTTTCTACTGGATGTATATTGCTTTTACCTACCATAATAAAGTCAAAAATCACAAGCTGAACCATAAGTGAGGGACTGTAGATGCTAAGTATAGATCTTTAAATACAAGAAGTAATTCTAAGTAAGTTCCAAACCTTACCCAATGATATTTGACTCTAACTCACTGTTTAGATAGCAAACCAAAAAGATTTGGAGAGGAGACAAATGGAAATCAGTGATGCAATGAGGACACTTAAGTCTGAAGTTAAAGATGAAATAAGAGCCAGCCTGAAGAATCTCAACCAGTTTCTTCCAGCAGATCTACCAGCAGATCTAGCCGATATTTTGGAGAGAAATGAACACTTACAGGGAGAGTGGGAAAGTTTGAAAGAAAACGTACCATTCTCCATGAATGAGAGACCTTTTGAAGACAGGCTGAACTTTTCTCAAGTTCACGTAATGGTAAGGTTTAGTTTACTTTGCTATCCCTGGACCAGGAGAGTTTGTTTCCCGACTCTCCAGTTAAGCTAAAAACAGATTTGGGAGCAGAGCACTGGTGACTCTCACCTGTAATCTTAGCCAGTTGGGAGGCTAAGATTGTTGGGATGGTAGTTCAAAGCCATCTGGGCAGAGAAGTTGACAAGACCCCTTTTCTCAATGACGAGCCAGATGCCAGGGCTTGCACTTGTTATCCCAGACTCCAAAAAATGCCTGGCCATGGGAGGGTCCATGCAGCCAGGTGGAAATTGAAAACACCCTGCAGAATCCAGGGCTGGGCTTGGGATTAGAACACCTGCCTGGCTGTTGTGAGAGCTGAAGCTCAAACTCAGCACTGCAACAATGAAAGGGAGGGAGGAGATTTGGGGTACTGGAGCAAGAGGTGACTTTTTGATGTTTTTCTCTTTTCCTCCTGAAAAAGGATGAGCACTGGCGTGGTGAAGCACTCCGAGAGAGACTCCGTCACCATGAAGACCGACTCAAGGTTGCCCTTTAAAAAACATATATAAGATCCTTGGCACTTTGGGAGCTGGGGGAAATTCTCATATCCACTCTCTTGCAGCACTGTGCAACTGTACAGACCACACAGAAGCAGCATTGAAAGTTGACATCACAGTTAGTAAAAAATAAACATTTGGTATTAAATCTGTGTTCCTCAGTATGCTGCTTTGCCTTAGCTAGAGCCAAGTATCTAGGATAAGAAATACAGATACATGGGGCTGGGAAGGTGGCTCAGTGGTGGAGCGCTTGCCTTGCATGCCTGAGGCCCTGGGTTCGATTCCTCAGCACCACATAAGCAAAAAGAAAAAAGCCGGAAGTGGCGCTGTGGCTCAAGTGGTAGAGGGCTAGCTGAAGAGCTGAGGGACAGTGCCCAGGCCCAGAGTACAGGCCCTAGGACCGGACCCAAAAAAAAAAAGAAATACAGATACAATCTTAAACTGTGCAGACATCATGAACCAGTGCTGGGAAAAAGATTGGGAATAGTAGAAACATACATAAGTCTGAGTGGCAGATAGGATAGTTTGACTCAGAACACACCAAGTTTTGAAGGTCCTGTGAGATACCCAGATATGGCTGTTAGTTGCAAAACATGAGTGTGATTTGGTGGTCAGTGTTAATCTCAGGATTTCAGAGTTAAAGCCATAGATGATGAGGCACACCTACAATCCCAGCACTCAAAAGACCGAGACAGAGGATTGTGAGTTCAAAGCCAGCCAGCACCATGGGCCAGAAACCTTGGTATCAGAAAGCAAAACAGGGGCTGGGAAGATGGCTCAGTGGTAGAGCACTTGCCTTGCATGCCTGAGGCCCTGGCTTCGATTCCTCAGCACCACACAAGCAAAAAGAAAAAAAAAGCTGGAAGTGGCGCTGTGGCTCAAGAATTAGAGGTTGAGAGTATATGTGGAGTCAAAAGAAGAGAGTGAAGCAGAATGAGAAAAGGAAGGGCCATCTTTGGGGACTGGTGACCTCCACAGATAGCAGAGGGAGCAGTGCTGACTAGAGCCCTCTGACATCCAGTGAAACTGCAGCTACGTATGGCTACTCTGTAATCAGCTGTGTGGTAAAGCCAAGTTAAAGACTCAGCGCCTGCTGGATGTCGGTGGCCCACCCCTGTAATCCTAGCTACTCAGGAGGCGGAAATCTGAGGATTGCAGTTCAAAGCTAGCAAACTACCAAAAAACTGGGTACTATGGCTCAAAGTGGTAGACCACTAGTCTTGAACGAAAACAAGCTTAGGAACAGCATCCAGATCCTGAGTTCAAACTCCAGGACCAGCACACACACACAAATTCAGCTTCTAAGTTGTCTCATTAAAAAAAAAATTTATTGTTATTGTAAAGGTAATGTACAGAGGAGTTACATTAACAAAAGAGCACATTTCTTTTTAGACAATATCACCCCTTCCCTTAACCTCTCTGCTTTTCCCTCCCGTTCCCACCCACAAGTTATATAGTTCATTTTCAACAGTGTCCAGTGAGTGCCATTACTGCGTTTGTTCACCCTTTTGTCTCTTCATTTCTGTGCCAACCTTAATACTCCCAAAGACATATAAATATAACAAAAAGGAAAGACAAAAACCACAAAAATAGAAAAAAAACTCATTTTCATATCCTGGAATTCATTTTGTTAAATACTATTTTGTATGATCAGATGCACATAGGCATTGTGCCTTTCTGTTCCTCTCCTAAGAGTATCTTTTGATCTCAGCATGTATAAATGCCTAGAGACTTGTATGACTTATGTCCCAGTGTATTTTAGATCTTGCTTACACATGTGAGAGAAAACATGCCCTGTCTGAGTTTGGCTTACCTCACTTAACCTGCTTTATTCTAGGTCCATCCATTTTCCTGCACATGACATAATGTTATGCTTTCTAATGGCTGTGTAAAATTCCATTGTGTATAGGTACCACATTTTCCAGATCCACTCATTCGTTGTCTGAGTTGCCCCATTTCATCTGTTGTATATATGTTTAGACGCTGCTGTATCAAGTAGAGAACATTCCCTTCATCGCAGAAAGTTCTTGTGGACTGCACTGCCACAGGCTTTGAGAGAACAGATTTAAGTTCTTGGTAGATGAAGAAAGAGATGAGGTGACAATTTACAATGGAGGCAGAGGCCTCAAAGATACTAAGCATTATTGCAGGACAGAGTCTCAGTACTGCAAAAGGAAAAAAAATCCAGGCTGAGTAAAAGGCCAGGTTAATGGCAATGCAAATATTAATTAATGGGCATTATGCACACACATGGATGATATTTAGTACCTCCTTCAACTTCTAAAGGATTTGTGCAGCTGCAAGCAGCCACTGGTACTATACAACAGACTATCAGATGTTAAATATGTGGAAGCTGAGTCATAGTTTTGGTACATTTCCTCTGTATAAAACTCTAAATGTAACCCTAACACTTTTCAGGCCCAGCTACGACACTGTATGTCTAAGCAAGCAGAAGTACTGATCAAAGGGAAGCGGCAGACAGAAGGCACTTTACACAGTTTGAGGAGACAAGTCGATGCTTTAGGGGAACTGGTGACCAGCACCTCCGTGGATTCAACATCATCACCCGGTGTGTCCCCGGTGGAGTCTTCCCTTGTGGTGGACACACAGCCTGGACAGAATCAGGTAAGAGGAAGTCCTGAAGGGTTGAGAATGTCACACGGAAGTGCATGAAAGCTTCGGAGAACATGATCCAGGGAAGAGCCGGCATCTAAATGCCATCTCATCTTTGGAAAACTTGTTTAGGGGGTTGCTGAGAAAATTCAAATCTCCTAACATATAGAAAAAGGGGATACGCTGATAGCTTTAGGAAATAGACTAGAGCTAGAGATAGGAGGATGTCATCAGTCATACTCTTCAGGCCCTCCACTTGTATCCCTTCTTCCCCTACCTGGTCAGAATAAAGAACTTAGACCTGTGAAGCGAGTACTGTGCTCTAGTTCACTTGTGTGGGATCCCTGTGTCTCGGGGAAAAAATGACTGCAGATGCCTATTTGCAATGAAATTTGAATGTAGACCTCTTAACCCAGGGTCTGTATAAAAGTTCAGTAATCGGGCTGGGAAGGTGGCTCAGTGGTAGAGCGCTTGTCTTGCATGCATGAGGCCCTGGATTCGATTCCTCAGCACCACATAAGGAAAAAAATAAAAAAGCCAGAAGTGGTGCTGTGGCTCAAATGGTAGAGCACTAGCCTTGAGCTGAAGAGCTGAGGGACAGCGCCTAGGCCCAGAGTTTAGGCCCACGACTGGACCCAAAAAAAAAAAAAAAGTTCAGTAATCATTTGGGAGGGAACATTACATAGATTCATAGAATTAACCATATTACTACTGACAGAAGAGCTTTCTATTTTTTTAAGTGTCTATGTACCTACTACTTTATATATAATAGCCCATTTAATCTTTACATCTGAAAGATAGAAATTATCCCTTTATGTAGGTAAAGAAACTATTAAAAGATAAAAATGACCTGGGTGTTAGATATAGCAAAGGACAAAACCAGGATTTAGGGACTAACCCACCTTTACCATAGAGCAGTGTGATTGTTGAAAACCACAAGGAATGTTCAAAGGTAGGTGCCCATTAATATGCCCAAATGGGGGGAAGTTATGTAGGGCATGTAATTGGGAGCATAGTTTAATTTGAATATGATTACCATAACTGCTGTGGTGGGGACCAAAGTCAAATTTAAGGCTCAAAACATCATGACCCCACAGAGAAGGAGTTAAAGAGGCACTGGGCACTAGGATGCGGGTGGGCTTCCATGATTGAGAGCACAGGAGATTTAGGAATCAGATTATTCAGCCCAAGATAGCAGCTGGCAAGGTTCAGGCACACCAAAGACAGGAAGTTAACAAGACACTGGAGGCCCAAGAGAAAGGGTATTAGAATTGTTTAAAGGTTAGGCTATGCAGGCTAAAGCTCCAAACTAGGTTGAAACTGGAGTGGTGGAGTGGTTTCTGGGCCTAATGTTTATTTCCCTTTTCAGATCTCCTTCCAGGTTGCGCAAGGCTCATCAGAAAGAGCCAGTTACTGACACGGAGGCCATTATCTGCTTCCTCACAAGGGTATGTTACAGAGACCTTGCAGCTAGCACTTTCAATCAGTAAATCATGTTATTCTAGCAGTCTTGAATTCAGGGCTTCATAATCTCACTAGGCTTTTTTGTTGTTGTTGGTCGTAGGGCTTGAACTCAGGGCCTGGGCGCTGTCCTTGAGCTTTTGTGCTCAAGACTGACACTCTACCACTTTGAGACACAGCTCTACTTCCGATTTTCTGGTGGTAAATTGGATGAGAGTGGACTTTCTTGCCCTGGCTGGCTTTACACCAGTATCCTTCTCAGACTCCTGAGTAGCTAAGATAATAGGCATGAGCCACTTGGAGATTTTTAACTGGTTAACTGGAGATAAATCTCATGGATTTATCTAGCTAGCTTTGAACCAAGAGCTCCAGATCTTAGCTGAGTAGCTACGAATATAGTCATGAACCACTGACACCAGGCCTAACTTTTTCTCATAGATTTTGTAGGGGTTAATTAATCTTAAGCGTTAAGGCTGGGGGCTGTAGCTCAATAGTAAGGTGCTTGCCTAACATGAACAAGGCCCTGAGTTCAGTGCCTCTCCTGAAAGACAAAATCTCAGAGGAACTCATATGTACTATTTTTGCCCTATCAGCCATTAAATACCCTTACTTCCATTTAAGGTTAATTTCCATGTTTTCAAGATTTTTATTTATTTATTTTTGCCAATCGTGGGGCCTGAGCTCTGGGCCTGGGCTCTGTCCCTCAGCTCTTCAGCTCAAGGCTAGCGCACTCTATCACTTGAGCCACAGCGCCACTTCCAGCTTTTTCTGCTTATGTGGTGCTGAGGAATTGAACCCAAGTTCTCATGCATGCGAGGCAAGCACTCTACCACTGAGCTACCTTCCCAGCTCCGGTTTCAAGAATGTAATTCTATTTTTGTCTTCCTGTAGGACTGCTCAAACAAGATGACAGACTGCTTTGCATCAGTATCTGAGGAAATATCTTTTCCACTACCTCAACTTCCTAATCAGAATGCCATTTGATTTCTATCTAGATTGAATGCTGAAACTCCACTGTAATTTACCATGCTTGTACCAGTAATGCCAAGGCATAAGTCACTTGTACACATGGGAATCACTGTGCATTTTAAACTGGGGTTCCAGTTTGCTGACTTTTTAAAATCTTGAACTGTATTTTTATAAAGCCAGTGGATTTTACTGCTTATTTGAATTCATCCACTGGTAAATGTAGTTTAAAAGAATGTACGTAATGCCTCTTCATTTATATAGTATTTTTTGATTCTGCTTAAAGTCTATTTTTATAGGAAAATAAAAGTCAACTTGGCTCTGTCATCTGACTTTACATTTCATAGATTCTGAGCAAAGCTATCAAGTTGGTACCTTAATTCCAAGAAAACAATAATATTCCAGATGGTTTCCATGCTTTACTTGGAGGCTGAAGTCATACTGAACATTTCTGAATCAAATATTTTAAAACCATTAACTTCATTTCAAATACTTTTATCTCAAGTCTTTTATGGAAAATTAGAAAAACTGTACTTCGGAGACTCAGTGCTAAGTTCACATTATATATTCAGACTTAAATACTTGAACTCCTAAAACAGCTTAACTCCTTGATCGACACACCTATACCTAAGACCAATAGAATCAGTCACCTTGCAACAGACATTCCTAAGAACCATCTAAGCCACGAGACAGCTCTGGAGCCATAACCAGCAATGTATCATGTCAGCACTGTACCTCACCACTGAGTAGTTACTTAAGATTCCTGAAATACTGCTTGGCTACCACTGTACAATTAAGATACAAGATACATATAAGACAACAAATGGAAATGACATACGATTTACTGACACACTAGTCTAGAAAACTTTCCAGACAAAATTGGCTTTTGTATTCATATTCTTTCACTTTCTTGGTTCAGGAAAATGCTTAAAAGCTTGTTCTATTAAGTTATTGATAGACTCCTCCATAAAACTCCCACATGGACAGGTCTTCTGTTTAAGGTATGTAAACTGAACCATTCAGTTTGATTGCTTTTTGTTGTTGTTGGCCAGTTGTGGGGCTTAAACTGGCAGCCTGAGCACTGTCTCTTCAGCTCAAGGTGAACACTTTGACTTGAGCATAGCACCACTTCCAGTTTTCAGTACTTAACTAGAGATAAAAGTCCCATGGATTGTCCTGCCTGGGCTGGCTTTGAACCGCGATTCTCAGATCTCAGGCTCCTGAGTAGGTAGCTAGGATTACAGGCATAAGCTGGCTCTGCCTTCATACTTTTTTTAAGTCACATTTTTTTTTAATGTATGGACAAAAAGGCTTGCAGAAACCAAAGTGAGGTAATGAATATATGAAGACAAACAGCTTGGTTTCTAAAGATATCTTTCATGTTTCAAAGAAATATTTCCAAAGAAATTTACCTCTAGGATGTGTACACCACCGTCATTCCCTACCCCCACATCACAATCACTAGACCACTTTATTGCTGATGAAAACACTCATGGAATGTCACACAAATAGTTCTAAGCACTAGTCACAACCAGAGGGCAATGAGTAACCCAGAACATCAGGTGACCTGAACAAACAGTAAAAACCGATAGTTTAAAAATTAAATGACTTTCTCTCCAGTACTGCCCAGTGTCTGGCACACATATTACAATATGACAATTTGCTCCTCTATTTTTAAGCACCCAAGTTTATTATAGAGGATTACACATGCAAGTAATAGAATTTGGCCCCAAGTACAGTCATGGTGAACACTATTAGCCAACAAATGTGCTGGCCTCGGACTAAAAGATGACTGAAAACATTGCAAAGGGGATGCAAATACAAGAATAAAACTAGTTCAGTTAGTGATGTGGTTGCATATGCTACAGAAGTAGACTTCTCTTTATACAACAAATAAGCACAGCTCTGCAATAAAAACTGACAATGTACACCAAGAGTTCACCTGAAGAAAACAGGCTCTACTATAGTTCAGAAAAAAATGCGACCAATTTTAATCTAGATACAGGTACTTTATTTACAAATATTTAGATTAATAGCATTTTGTTACATCAAATGAAGAATACAGCAGTCTGAATAAATCCTTCTGTCACAAAAAACAATTAAGACCCATTGTAACTAACTTTGGGAATCGGTATTGCACCTAAACAAGCCTCAGTCTTTAGTTTGTATATCCCAATCTGTGGTTTGTTTGCTTTGTTTTTGTAAATATATACACACCAGCAGGTCATGGTCCCAGGGTGAATCCCTTGTGATGCAACAGCGTAAGCAAAATGGATCACTGCAGGTCCTGAACAGAATAAACCAATCAATCTACTCCAGGAATCTTGTTCTTTTTGAAAAGTTTAACGGAGACAAAAAAAAAAAGATGAATCCACAAATAAACCCAATCCTATTTTCTGCACATTCCAGTTTGGGCTTTTATTTAACATGGACTATACAATACTCTGGAACTACCACTGTTTATAACCCAGAAAGATGTAACTTCGTGTTTTACTGTCTGTAAAGAGGGATTTAAAATGTGTATTTTAAACAGCAGTTCAGTCAAGTGCATTTTATATAATCAGTTCACGCTTACCTATCCTACACTTCAAATAACTTTTCAATTCCCAGCCACCAAACCATAAAAACTAGAAATTACTTAACAGAAGTGAAGAACTTAGTAGAACTTAAGTTTGCTGTCTAAAATAGTAAGATTGTTTCTCTTACAAGGTGTTCCTTCAGCAGCCAAATCACTTGGCAAAGGTGGCTACTTGTACTTACTTTGTAACAGCATAAACACTGAACCACCTTTAGAAACACTTCCCTTTTACAAAACAACTTACTCCAACATGACTTAAATAGCCCCATACTATAAACACAAGGGATAATCTCCAATTATTTCATTGTAGTGTTAAAAATGCACAATTAAAAATCCCATAACAGCAGACCTGTGGTTCTGACCGTCTGGTTCAGAATCTGACCATTCCAAGAAGATAAAGGTATAAAAGCTTAAAATGTGCAATAATAAACCCAGCCTTTTTTCTTTTTCTATACAGTAAGGCAAGAATGCAGCCTGTAATGTAAAACGTTCACAAAAAGAGAAAAGCAGGTTAGCACATTGTTGATTGCACAAGAACAATTAAAATCAGCAGGTGAGCCACAGTGCAAAGATGGAATAGAATCTGCTAGTGTTAATCCGCTGATGCTAGGAGCTTTCTCCAGCATGTCCCCAAACACTGCCAGCACCAAGGAGCGGAGCCAGTACTACTTGTGAAGGTCTTGTGTGAAATGGAAGGGAGTACATGGTCACATATAGGTCATACTGTACAAACTGGTATTTTATACTGTTCCAATGCCAGTAATCAATTTATTTTCTTCATTAAAATAATATACACAGAATGTAGTTAGTTCGGTTCCTTCAAATTTTATACATATTTACTTTCTGTTAAAGAGAGAAGGACAAAATGGCGTGGAAAAAAAAAGATAAAGCTATTAAGCACAAGAGAAAAGATAAGTATTTTTCCTGTGCAAGGCCAAGACAGAAGCAAACCTCATCGAGAAAAATGCTGCCCCTACAGTAGGGATTTGATCCAACAAAAACTAAACCAAAGCAGTTATAGAACCCCTTCTCTACCACCGGAAGTCGTTTCTTAGCAAGGAACTATTGGTTACAACAGCCATACTTGAACAGTTAAGTTAAAGACAGGAGAAAGGCTGAAAATATCAAATTAAACCATACAGTGAGACAAAGCCTTGCCAAAAAGAGAGGGTAAAAATCATCAAGTCCAGCATCAGTGCTCAGTTTAAATCATAGATTGGTGACATATACCTATCACGAGGACGATTGAGGGGGAAAAAAAAGTCTAGATTTACCATGCAGGAGAGATTTATTACTCTACTTGCCTTTGATAACCTGATTACATCTAGTTGTTTAGCAGTTTAGTATTGTGTTAAACTGTTTTTTACAATAGAGTTGTTTTTTCTTTTTTAATTAAACCCAGTAAGATGTACAGAAGACAACAGGCAGTAAAAAGTACTGCTTCCAACAGACAGAGGTGAAAGGTCAAATGAGGGGCCATGGCAAAGAGGTCACTAGCAGCCACAGCCTTCTCTCTGGGGTTGGGGTTCACTGGTTAGCCGTCCTCCCTGCGGGGCTGAGGGTTTATGTTGTACACCAGACTCAGCAGCATTCAGATCCAGGCTCCCATCCTGAATGTTCTGATAGATTTTCTTGGCAGCCTCAAGGAAAGCATCTTCTACATTCTCTCCCCTAAGAAGCAATGGACAATTTTATTCCAGGACCACAGATTTCTACAAAATAAGACATTATACACTGACCTTTTGTTAACCTCTAGTCAATGTCATGATGTCTTCAACTTAGCCACTGTCATCTAGTAAGAGATTATCAAAACACTGGGCTAAGCGAATAACATGGAAATGTTTCCTGTGGAAAGCATAGCAGTACTAAACACCCTACTTGTTCTAATCACTAAAATGCTACATGTTAACACATACATAATTTGGCAGTTTCTGTGACAGGTAGGTTCTCCAAACATGTGGAACAGGACTCTGGGATTTGTATCACTTGAGAAACCACATGTAAACTGTGCTGCTTCTATAATGTGGCATGACACAGTCATGCTTAGCCATATTCACCCTTCAGTTCAGTTCTACTGACACTAACAGCAAAGCTAAGACTTCACAGAAACAGGTTAGCACTCCTTGCCACTGCAAGGGTAACAATAAATGATAGGATGGCTTGGGATCAGGAGTGAGAGAGCTCAATAATGGACTTGGAAACACCACTAAAAAATACTATGTTTCTAATTAGACACTATTTCTAAGTTATGCTTTTTGGTTTTTTCTTAATACCAGTCCTGGGGCTTGAACTCAGGGCCTATGCACTGCCCTGAGCTTTTTCACTAAAGGCTAGTTAGTGCTCTACCACTTGAGCCACAGATCCACTTCTGGCTGTTTGGTGGTTAACTGGAGATAAAGAGTCTCAGGCTTGTGGTCCTCAAATCTTAGCCTCCTGAGTAACAATGATTACAGATATGATCCATTAGTGCCTAGTGTAAGTTATGCTTTTTAAGGTGATACCAAATATTATTATTATATGAACAGGCTGGCCAAACGACAGTTGGTCTTAGATGCCAAATTCAACTACAGTTACAAAAGTGAAACATTTTTTAAAACAATTTTATTAACCGGAGTTACCAACAGATGTAATCAATGTATAATTTTTTTTTTTGGGGGGGGGGGTCAGTTGTGGGGCTTGAACTCTGGGCCTGGGCGCTGTCCCTGTGCTCTTCAGCTCAAGGCGAGCGCTCTACTGCTTAAGCCACAGT